ATGAAGTGGCCAAGAGCTACTTGCATCACATCGCTTACATTTATTCACATAGCACTCATCAGTTGAATTAAGCTACTTTTGTATACGTGTGAAATTGCAATACCCAAAGCTTATCAACAATCTTTACTTCACATCAAGGTCCAAGAAAACGACAATTTCTCACATATTATTATGGCCCTCATATACCTCATTCACACCAACTGTGTTTCAGGGCCGGTTCGGAGCTGGAGCTTGAAAAGCCCCAGGTTTTCCTGTTCACACCGCAGCGGAGCAGCCTCTTAGCTCCGGAATCCGGTTCGTTTCAAGCACCAACATTTCCGGCTAGAGCAAAAGCACCACATACGTCACACTTACGTCGAGGCGGGGGCAGGGGCAGGGGCGGGATCAACTCCTGAACAACAACAAGAAGCCCGCGTTTTATCCAGTTTGTACACAACGATGGAGAAACTTAACAAGCAGCGGTGGTCTACTGAAGAGACCAGCTACCTACTGGGAATGTGGTCTTCCGAAGAGGTACAGAGGAAGCTGGAGCACAATCGGCTATTGTTGTTGTCGGTGTCAGCTGTGAGGGGTTTCCGCTCAGTTTGGCTTTATGAAGCAGGCACGCAAACGGTTACGTCATGACGCAAACGATGACGCAATGACGCAGCACCAGTCGGACTCTGGGCGGTGTGAAAAGAGCTGGAGCTAAACCGAAGAACCGGTTCTGAACCTGAAAAGCTCTAGCACGGAGCTTGAACCTGAGTTGCGTTGGTTTGAATGAGGTAATAGTAAGTAAATCACTGAACATTCACATAAATGTCCAAGAAAAATTAGTTTTTCCTTCTTATTATGGCCCACATAGTAAATACATCACCTTAATCACCACCTTGCAAGCATCTTATGGCACAAAAATGTAAAATAAGTGGCATTCACTCTTTTTTTACAGTTAGTGAGCTGACTGGCGCTGCATGGAGTCCACCATAGAGGTGTATACTGGAGTGTACCCACTTAGGTTCACTCTAAGAGTCCTTGAAATGTTCTGTATTTAGATTTCATTCATGTCAGAAAAAGCTGATTCACAAAGTAGAGCCAAATAAAGCAGACGTGTTCAGTGCTGCTTGGTGAATGTTCTTAGAGTTTACTGGGTCTACAAGGCTCCAGAAATGTTGTGAGTTTTGCTGAGGCTTAAGCTGAACATGATTTTGGAGATTTATAACCTCCATCTCCATCTCCACAGGATTGACACTGAACAGTTCAGCCATCTTTTTCTTCTTGTTCTTCTTCGTCTTGACATGACATTATAAACCATAATACATCTGTATGGTCTAGCCTCCCTATATCTGTGTGAAATTGTTCCATCCTCAAAAACAAAAAACTAATGCTTCTGCAGTCTAGCTGCAGCTTCTAGCAACGGTCTTCTGTTAAAGAAAGGACACTGAATGTCCTGAATGAGGCATCACACACAGGACTTGAGTCTGAACACAGCAGACAACAGGAGTATTTACAACAGCATATAACAACTAAAATAGTGCATGTGTGCACACTGACATTCTCTGTCTTACTGTTACTGGATGTATGAGATTAAGTTAGCTTCATCATCTCAATCAGTGATTAAGTGAATAATAACGTTTCTATCAGGTCACTATCAGCCTGTAACTCATTATTTTTAGGGCGGGGTTTGGAGGAACGGAGAGGAGACGGTGATCGCGGAAGCTTTTTTCCTCCTGCCTTCACAAACTTTACACGAGTATTTATCAACTGAAAATAGCAAGAGGACATTCATACTCTGCAATCCAAGACTTGATTAAATCCACCAAAAACCTGACATGGTGCTAACGCGAGCATTTTTTAAAACATAAATCCATGTGTTTCTGAGCCGCAGCGACACGGACTGATTCAGGTGCATTCGACGTGTTGGAGACCCCTGGTCTATAGCGACAGCAACCTCAATATATATCAGTGTTCCCCCAAATCATCCCAGTGTAGTGCTTTGTGTTCCTGTAGTAAACACATTCAGCGTCTCTTGCTGATGTTTGCTACGTCTCCCTGAAAGAATAAAGTGTAATCTCATGGTCCTTTCTTTGTTTTGTTCATTGATCATAGGAGTGTCTGGAGCAGCCAGTGGCATCACAGAGCCTACCAACAATGTGTATAACGGTTAAAGGGAAACAGTTACGGATACTCCGCTCGCTGTACAGGTTAAGTCAATAGATTGCAGCCACTATGTTCCTCCAAAGAGGGCCGACTTGCCGTTGATGACGTCACATTCTTATTCCCTATAGGCGACGCAGTAACAGAATCTGGATTTATATCTGATAGTTAATCAGGTCTGTGTCCCAAACCCCCTCAGAGGTTGTTGTAACCTGCAGACCCCCCCAGGAAGCAGTGTGACAACAGGCGGATCCTACCTGGCCCATCTGTCTGCCAGCACTCAGTGGTGAACTTGGAGTTGAACTAAAAGGAGGGGGGGGTCCGCCTTGACTTCCTGCCACTTCTTTTGTGTGGCAGCTGAAAAGCAGGGAGCAGTGCAGAGGCTGATGTATGGGAGCTGTATTGAAGCCGAGGGGTTTGGAGACAGCCACGGGGAACCTGAGGAGGGGGGCAGAGATGGTCTGACCGATTACACTGTGTGAAGAGGGGGATGAATGAGGGGGGGGGGTGCAGTCGCTGAGTAGTCCATGTCTGGGCCACACTGCAGGCTGCCACATGCACAGACATTCTCAGTCATTGAACTTCCTTCCTACACTTACAAATGTGATTGATGGAACGCATCGGTTAAGTGGAGCTGATGGTGGTGTTGCCCCCCCACACACACCATGTGTTGTGTTAACCTCTGGCCTGGCTGTGGGCACGAATCTTAACAATACACAGAGGCTTCACCTTGGATTTGACCCCAGTGTTTTGTCTGGGCTTAATGGGTTTGCAAATTCAAGAGTAATGGAGGCTGTGGGTTGTTTATGCAGGACAGGTCAAGAGCGGGAACTTGGCAATGTGGGTATCAAGAAACGCTTGTTATCTGTGCTTGGCTAAATCAGAATCAGGTTACCTGTGTTAGTCCCACAGAGGCTGAATTGACATTTTAGCACAATTGAAATTAATAAACAGCAGCAAGTCTATGTACATATCTAAAGTATAAAGGACATGAACCACAAGAATACTCAATATAAAATGTACTACATCAATTTGTGGAGAATTCCCACAATATATTACAGTAGCAGAAAAATATATACATATGGTAGTATATCAATTACAGTTTTGTAAGTAGCAGTTGTGCCAAAGTGTTCATTGTTGTTCATTGGGGAGGAACCAAAACGATGAAGCAGTGAGTTCTCTGCAGGCCGGAGGTGAGCTGTTATAAAGTGTTATGGCTGCTGGCAGGAGTGTGTTCCTGTGTCTGTCCTTGTGACAGCAGAGCTGGAGCATTCCTTAAAGAAGGAGCTCCGCTGTCTGTCCAGCTGCTGGTCACTCATTCTTATTACATATAGGCCTACTGTATATTCTGTTTTATGCAAGTAAAACATGGAAAGGTGCAAATAGGGTATTTATTACATGATGCCATAACGTTACTCACTAATAATGGTTTGTGAAGCACAAAGAGTTAGCTTTGTGTATGAATTTGATTTAATAGGCTGGTGCACTCCATGCATCTGTCTTGGAAAATCCTGTTTAACTTGACTCCATCTTCTTTATTTCATAGAGGCACTCAAAAAGGTGTCACAGCTACAAACCTCTGGCATCTTAATGGAAGCTATACGGCAGAGTTTCCGTTATTTTTTATTATTATTGTTCGCCGGTCAACATGTCCGTTAAAGTTTAAATCTTCCGGACAACATTTGAAAAGTGCCGGTCAAATGTCTTCTTTGTTATTTATTGAGCTTTAAAACAAATTGATATGATTCGATATTAAACAAACTAATTATAGTAGATTAACTATTCAAAAGTGTTCAGTAACTTACAATAACACGAGAATAATAAACGGAGCGCTCTCCCTCTCCTGGCAGCCCGCCAGTATCATGCAGCTCGCGGATCAGTAATGAGTGACCCGACAGTAAAACTAAACATATCTATAACTAGTTTAGGTAGTTTGAGAGGTCATTAAAATAGCTACGTGTGATATTCTAACCTGAAGTGTGTGTTTTGTCCGCTCACCGCTGCATGTGATCATGCAGAGCTGCGTGTCCACTCGTCAGCAGCAGCTGATCTCTCTCTCCCGTCAGATTAGACTTCACTCGCGTTTATGTCCATATCGATCAGATCCAGCTAGTTCTAGCTAATGATAGGACTACCTGCTTATTAAAAGACACCTAAACAATAAGCGTCGCTATGCAACCGGGTGAGGCCACAAAGTATAGCGCAGCATTATGCATTTGTTTACATGCCCACCGGAAACCCAAGGCATTACCAACAGATCAACGCACAATCAACCCATACAGGACATCTCTTTCTCCACATTAAGTGTTAGACATTAGAATTGACTATTCTTGTCTGTCACATACTCTTCTTGTCTGTCACATACTCTTCTTGTCTGTCACATAAGTGGCGCAACTGAAGCGGTATTGCGCTACAGGGAAATTATTTTGACCGGACATTTTGACCGGAGAGATTTGGATTTGCCGTTCTTCAGCATATTTTACCGGTCATAGTCCGGTAATTACCGGCTAACGGGAACTCTGCTATATGGTAACTGTGGTTATCCTCTGACTTTCTACTTTAATAACATCTACGCTAGTAACATCTTCACAGTATGTCAACATGTACTCTGGCTTTGCACCAAACTGTGAAATGTCTTGTACCAATATTTTGTTATGGATATTTAAGTTTTCCAGACGGTGTATCCTAATGACTCTCCTGGAGGTTCCCCATGATGTTGCTCTTTAGTGAAATATCTCCACAACTATTGTATGGATTTGGTATTTGTACCGAGATTCATGTTCCCCACAGGATGAATTGTGATTTCTTTGGTGATTCCAAACATTTCCTCGAACAAATCCAGTAACATCCGTGATGCGTCTTTGCAGGAACAACCCTCACCCATACATCACTGCTCTGGAGAACCGAGTGGACTGCTGGCCCGCTCTGCTGCTGGAGATTGATGACTTCATCCAGCAGGCTGCTGAGAGGTGAGCATGGCTGCCACACACTGAAGGCTCCATCCAATCACCCTCCTTCACTGCATGACTTTCAGAGCCATCTGTGGCAGGCATCGTTTCGAGATAACTCATCTAACTATCATCAGCTGTTATTATGTAGTGAAACAAATACATACAGATACAGCACCATACATACAGCATGGATCATTCTCTCTACAAGGCTTCAATATGAGGAATTTCCACACAGTATCAACCTTGACCGATTGATATTTGCCGACATAATATGGTGTCTGTATTTTCTGCAGGAATGAACCCGCCTACGTCACCATGCTGGCCCCCTTCCTGCGCTACCTGTACTGTGAGCCTCAGAGGCAGCCGCAGCACGCCCTGCTACGCCATGGGCTCCTCAGGGTGCTGATGCCCTCTCACCCAGCAGCCAGATCACTCCTCCAGAACAAGGAGCAGGACCCGGTGTTTGAAAGCCTGCTGCACTGCCTCTGTCAGCTGGTGCCACACATGCAGGTAACAAACTAATATCAGATCAGAGCCCAGTCTGCTCTGATTGTTTTGCTGGCAGATGTCCCACCCCTTAGGCTTTGTAGACCATTTACATGCACATACAAGCACAATAGGGCCCCTTTAACAGGGTTTCCTCTCTTGCTGATAGGTGGACAGTGTGGAGGCGGTGCTGGAGTTCTGTGGGTTCGTAGACGCCCTGCTGCAGGTTCTGGTCCCGGCCCCTGAGCAGTGGAGGTCAGAGAGGGTGGGGCTGACCCTCCAGCTGCTGTGTGCCTGCAGGTGCTGCCTCCGGCTGAATGCAGACTGCAGACCTCTTCTCAACCTATTACAGCAGCTCCTGCCGGCCTGCCAACAGGTGACACCAGCAACGATATGACCCAATACAACTTCAGATTATTATTTTAATATTTTATTCATTGCACATTTTTAATTTGTTAAAACATTTAAAATAAATATTATTATCTTATTCTAAAAATTGAGCATACAAAAAAAAAAATCCCCCACTTGGATAAATTCAGTGTTTTAATTCTGATAATATGTAAGATATATTTGTGCCAACTTTCATTGTCTATGTGTATAGGAGCTACCATTGGACGAGCTGTTGATGGGCGTGGCCCTTCTCCTGCTAGAAGTCCCAGCAACCCAGCAGACCAGCCTGCTTAATCTGGGTAAAAAACCTCTTTCATAAATAAATTAAACAATATTTTTGGATAGCCAAGGGAGAGACATCCAGTACTCAAGAGATGTTCTTGAAGTCTGAACTTTCTCCTGTCAAACACTGCTACAAATCCCTTTCCCTGTGTGATGGGAGTCATCACAGACAGCTTATTCATTACAATACAGCAATGTATAATGCATTCTGTTTAGTAGTGTATGGATTTGTTCATTGAATCATTCTGACTCATTGTATCTGTCCTGCATGTCGAGTAGGGCTGCAACAAACGACTCATTTGATAATCGATTAATCTATCGATTAATTAAACGATGAATCGACTATTCGGACTATTACTGTATGCGTTGCACAATTTCTCAGCGCTCTTATTTAGCCATCAACTTTTAGATGTAGCTTGAGGTTGTTTTAGGCATGTGGAAACTAACAATGAAGACAATCAAGATGAATACTTGATTCAAAAATACATATATTATTAAATTAACTAAACAAAATTAACATTGCTTTTTATTTAAATTAAATAAATAATATTTCACATCAAAAGAAACAACAATGTTTTAACAAATCGTATTAAATAATAATAATTAAATAATCTGATGACAGAACTGTAAACAGAATAGCTGAAACTTTAACAAAATAAAGAGTAACTCGGTTACCTCTAATCATTAACCCATGTTTGTATAATGGAGTTAACTCCGTGTGTTGCTGCTAGCATAACACCTGACGTGGAAACGTTACTCGTGGATGGGGGGGCTACAGAGCTGCTAGAAAGACAGTGGAACCCGGTGCATTCCTCCGTCTGAATGTGGTGCACTTTTGCTAAATGTTTGACACATTGCTCGTGTCACCGCCCTTACATGCTAAACTCTCTTGGCAAGGAGCATTGTCCACCTCAAGACGGGTAACATTTAACCACACCTTGGAGCGCTTCTCTCCGCCATCTCCTCCGTGTGTTGCTGCATGTAGCAGCCGCGTGTGTGTAAACTGCCCCGCCCCCTCGCGCACAGACGGGAGAGAGAGATCTCGTCTCGATTGGAAAGGTCGAAAATACATCAGACGCATTTTTGTTTGTCTTTTTGCATACAGTATTAGAAACTAGTTGGCGACACTAAGACTGCGATATAATGTAGCAATAATACATATGACATATATTGTTTAAATGTCTCCAGTACCGATAAAAAGACCGATAACGTTGGAGCTTAACGGCGCGTAAAACACACGTGATGACGTCACCAACGAATCGATGACTGAATTAGTTGGCAACTAATTTGGTCATCGATTTTAATCGATTAAGTCGATTAGTTGTTGCACCCCTAATGTCCAGGTGTCATTTAAAAAACCCTTTCCATCAGCTTATATTGCATCGTCTTTATTTTTGAGAAACTACCCTTTTGGTCAAATATCATGCATTACCACTGACGTTACTGTCCATTTCTTACATGTGTTTGTAAATAGCCAGAAACACAACCTGAGTTCATTTCTGCCCTGCATACAGTGCATCCATGCCAAGAGCTTTGTCTACAGAAGAAGAGGTCTGCATGGCTCTGCATGTAATACCTGCCTTTGTCTGAATGTCTTTCATTTTTGTAAGCACCTTGAATTGCCTGGTGCTGAAAGGTGCTATATATATAAATAAACTTGCCTTGCCTTGCCTTACACATTGACTCAATATATTGATCCTGCATTTATGGGTTCCCATAGTTTTCATAATGACTTTCTTTACATGAATTGATCTGTACTGTAACCGTCACGTCTTATGAACATTCCTGAAAATGACTGCATTTGGTGTTTTCTACCTTATTTGTCCATATGGATTCTTTACCCCTCGTGTTGCCCTCCTCTGATTGGCAGCTCTGAGTCTGGTCCCTGAGCATGGGGAGCTGGCCCCCTGGCTGAGTCCGGTCCTGGTTCTTCCGGTGCTGCAGCTGCTGTCCTGCTCGGGCCTCACCGAGGCGCTGGCTGACCAGCGGAGGCACAGACTCAACCAGGACTTGGCCCACAGCCTCCTCTGCAGAATCAGCAGGGAGACGGATAAACTCCCACAGGTAACATTGAAGTCTGTGGGAGAGGAACTCCCTCTGGAGGGAACACAAGGATTTTAGCCTTTGCAGACCATTTACATGCACAAACAGGAGAGGAACACCAAAAACAATTATAGGGCCTCTTTAAAACATGGGGAGCAGTGCATATTTCCAGACAGTCTCCCCTGGAAGATATCCAGATGTCCATTCAGATGTTCACATGAAAATGTATAAAATGTTTGGTTAAGGAATTACAAATATAAACATTTGAGACTGAAGAACAAATCCTGGCTCCTTTCACAAAGGGTGGGCTTTCTGTTTTAATGCTTGACCTTTTTCAATTGAAGATTATTTTATATATATATGTGTCGATTTATAGATTTTAGCCCCAAGAAACAAATATTTGCCTTTCTCCTCCTCTCAGCCCAGCCCACCACTGGCTCTTCCTCTCAGTTCCTGGTACAACGAGCTCAGCGTGGCTCTGTCCATACTGCGTAGAGTGACGGAGGACCCGGCGGCGGCAGCTGATTGGCTGCTGTCCGTCAGCTCGGCCCTGTCCTCCGGCCAGAGCCAGCTCTGCTCCCTCAGCCTCATGGTGACCCACCTCCTCCTCACGGGGGGGGAAGACGTCTGCCAGCTGGCTCTGAAGGCCATCCAGGCCCTCGCTGCTGCAGAGCCCTGCCAGGTACACTCAGTGATTTCCATTTAAAAAGAGCTTTTTTACAACAATAAGCAGAAACATGTATGCCTAATATATATTTACATTTATTTTGAGAATGGCTTTCGCTAATTGTTTATATTTAAATGTATTTGTTTAATGTAAAATAAATACAAATATATATATATATAATCAAATTGTGAAAGGCATAATGAGGCATAAGTTACAGTGCATTATCAGGAATAAATATTCTAAAATGTTTCTAAAAACAACAGATTTAAAGTAAGACAGACTGCTAAAAGGTTGTAAGAGGTACAGTTTTTATCTTTACATAATACATTTCATTCATTAGTGAGGAAAATGTTAATTCATTTATTGTGATTGATTAAATCTGTATTTCACTTTTCATAAAAAAAAGAAAGAAATAACACGGCTATGATAATGGCTCCTGAACATCATCATATTAACTCAATTTGAAATTGAGTTAAATCCTTTCTCTATTTAGTGCGAATGGTGTTTACAGCATTCCACTATAGTGCTTCAAATCTTTATTCCCCTTATTTCAGCCAATACTTTGGCTCTCCATAACTTCAGCTTATTTTCAGCTACAGAAACCATTCAAATATTAAACTATTCAGCCTGTTCAGGAATCGATGGGAAACCTTCAACTTTTTCAAAATATTTCATACTTTTTGAAATATTCAGCTTTTTAAACTCTTTTTTTAACATTGAAGTCAATGGGAAGAGCCTTCAAATCAGCCAATACTTTAGCTCTCCATAACTTCAGCTTACTTTCAGCTACAGAAACCATTCAAATATTAAACTATTCAGCCTTTTCAGCAATTGATGGGAAACTTTCAACTTTTTCAAAATATTTCATGCTTTTCAAAATATTCAGCTTTTTAAACTTTAAACTTTAAACTTTTTGAGATATTGAATTTAGTTTGTAGAGAGGCCTTTTTCAGATTTTTACATTAGAGTGGATGGAGCAGCTCGTGCTTTGATCTCAAAACCGAGTGCAGGACAGCTCGAAATTCTCCCCCAAAAATGTTTTAAACTTGCCATAATTCCCAAACCCTACACTCATCAGACATATTTTTTCATGGAAAACGTAGGAAAACCTCTCCTAGGTTGAAAAATAAAAAAAAATAAGAAAAAATATTAAACAAAATGCCTCTTGAGGGCATGAAGTGACAAAAACGTTCAACATTCCTCCATTGAAGCCCATTGTAATTTCAGGCAGATATTTCCTCACGTTAGCAGCCACACACCTTTAGTTAAACTGCCAAAAAGGCCACATTATTAACCCAAAACTACACAAAAATTACACTTCAGATACTCAACTTCCTTGACATGCTTCACGTTTTGAAATGTCACAGATATCTGTTACGGTTCTTCCACAAAACGTTCACATGTAAGAGGTTCATCTCTCATTCAGAACAATGGAAACCTGTGATCTCAACAGAGCTCGTTAGCTCAACTATAAACACCTGTGTAATGGAACACGATGATGTCATCACTCCAACTGACATGCAGCAGACTTCAACAGTCCAGCTGTGAAGACATCTTCGGGACAGTTTGGAGATTTCTTCAAATGTCGTTGCCATGGCAACACAATGCTCGCCTTGAAACACGGTTTTCTCATAGCTTCAGTGAAAATACTCCAAACAGCCCAGAACTTCACAGGTTTGATAACGATGCAGCCATCAATGCATCTAAGCGTAGTATGGGGTGTCATCAAATGTCGTTGCCATGGCGACAGACCTCTCGCCATGAAACACGATGAGGCTGTAAGTGCAATCGACACTGTCCAATCGTCCCCCAATCTTCACTTGTATATCACCGGTCCATGCCTCAAGAGCTCTACGCCAAATCTGAGATCTCACCATATGCCGTTTCCATGGAAACGCATCCCTTGCCATAAAACATGATGTCGCTATAAGTCCAATGGACACGGTCCAATCGTCCCCCAATATTCACTTGTATATCACCGGTCCATGCATCAACAGCTCTACGCCAAATCTGAGATCTCACCATATGCCGTTTCCATGGAAACGCATCCCTCGCCATAAAATATGACTATAATATATATATATCACTATAACTCCTATGCAAATGTTCAAAGAGTGCTCAAACTTCACATGTGTGCTAACAGTCCAGCCGTGAAGACATCTACGTGACAGTTTTGAGATTTCTTCAAATGCCGTTGCCATGGCAACACAATGCTCACCATGAAACACGGTTTTCTCATAACTTCAGTGAAAATACTCGAAATGGCCCAAAACTTCACAGCTTTGGTAACAATGCAGCCATCAACACATCTAAGAGTATTATGGGATGTCATCAAATGCCGTTGCCATGGCGACAGATCATTCACCATCAAATTAGTTCAAAAGTTTCCCAAGCCTTTTTACTTTCTTTTCTCATCTTAATACAAATTTATTCACTACTACTTACATCTGATATTTAACTCCTTCAGCCTATTTTCAGCTGCAGAACCCATTCAACTATTACATTATTCAGCTATTTCAGGACATCAAGGCTATACATGTTGCTATACAACCTTTTCTTTTAAATATTAAGCTTTTTCTGCATTTGTTTAGCTAAAAGCAGCTACCATTCAGCTAATAACACATTCAGCTTTTTCTGCATTTTCAGCTAAATTCAGCCATAAATGTTCACAGTTTACAGCATTCGCACGCATTTTCTGCAGGAAATGCATGTTCTAGTTGCAATTAATTATTTCCACATTTACAAGACAACAAACAGAAAAAAATACAACAAACAACCCGAAAACAATGACAAAAAACTCGGAGTTGAGCCGCTCCTCCTTCGCGTCGAAAGGAGCCAGTTGAGGTAGTTCGGGCACCTAGTTAGGATGCCACCTGGGCGCCTCCCTAGGGAGGTGTTCCAGGCACGTCCAGCTGGGAAGAGACCAAGGGGTAGACCTAGGACCAGGTGGAGGGATTATATCTCTTCGCTGGCCTGGGAGCGCCTTGGGATCCCCCAGTCAGAGCTGGTTGATGTGGCCAGGGAAAAGAAAGTTTGGGGCTCTCTGCTGGAACTGCTACCCCTGTGACCCGACCACGGATAAGTGGGAGAAGATGGATGGATGGATGAATACATATTCATTTCTTGGGGAATTTATTTACCTTAACTTTAGGACAATGGTCAAGTAGTGAAATAAAGATGACTTACAGTTTAAAAAAACATCATTTGAAATGTAATGCTCTAAAATAGTCTCTTTAAAGAAGCTCTCCCAGCCTTCAGCTGCTGGATGTTCTACAGCTCTATACAGAGAAGGCTGACAGACCTCCCAGACCCCCGGGACTGTAAATGGAGTCACAAGCTGCAGAAGATGATGTGAAATATAACATGGTGTTATGGGCTGCTCATTACCGCGCTCGTTAGACGCCGCCGAGTTTTCCCCTGCTGCTCTAATTGCTCCCAGAGTGCCACTTTGCTCCGCTGGATGATGGCTTGGTAGAAGCGTTATTGGCATATGTGAATCTTTTGACTTCCCACCTCATATAATTGCATCATATTTGCCTGCTCAAACCAAAAACACTCATTTCTTTGTTCAAGTGTTATGTCAAAGCTATATGCATTCTATATATATATATATATATATAATGGATGAATGGATAATGGATGAATATCTATATATATTCATCCATTATAATTCTTTGGGATAGTATTATGAAGTGGCTAATCCTGGGTTTTAAAATGTCTGAAGCCACATGAGGTCAGGTGTCCGACACGCACAGAGATGCTGTTTAGTTCCACTTGAAAAATATGATTTATTGAACAATAAACTCCGGTTGACTTTCAAGAAAAAACGAATAAATCAAAAATCCAAATATCTCTCATGTGATAATGCAATCATCAAAAATACGGTGATGGAAATAATGCGCTAGATGCTAACATATGTAAATGATGTGCAACATAATGTGATCTACTGTATATAGAACAATGCAGATAGTAATGTGGTCAGAAAGTGTTGGCCTACGGCCATCCAACCCTGATGTCCTTGTCCATTTCAAGCCTCGCCCATCACAAGATGACATAAATAACAGTTCTGAAAAAGAAAATCATACATAACTGTAACTCATATATATCTGTTGGATACAGTATTTTCATCATAAATCAAAAGGGGTTAATGGCTCCAATAATTCTATTGATAAACCCGGCCTCTCATGGATTCATGCTGAACGAAATCTCCCTTTCCTTCTTTTCCAACTCACCTCTTCCTCTCTAGCAGGTGAGGTTGTTGCTATGCAACGGCCAAGGTGCAGGGCAGCAGTAAGTTATGTTAATGAAAGGCTGTAACACTGCAGAGCCTGTGGACTACATGCAACCAAAGACCCTGACTACTTCCTGTTTCTGACCTCCACACTGAATGGAATAATGAACCGTTAACCCTCGGTAGTCCTTCATCCATTCAAATTCAAAGGAGTTCTATTGGCATGACCATACCGAAAACATAGTACTGCCAAAGCACGTTGTAGATAGGTAGAATAGATGGATAGATAGATGGATGGATAGATAGATAGATGGATAGATAGATAGATAGATAGATCGATGGATGGATGGATAGATAGATGGATAGATAGATGGATAGATACAGTGAGGCAAAAAAGTATTTAGTCAGCCACCAATTGTGCAAGTTCTCCCACTTAAAAAGATGAGAGAGGCCTGTAATTTTCATCCTAGGTACACTTCAACTATGAGAGACAGAATGGGGGGAAATAATCCAGGAAATCACATTGTAGGATTTGTAATAAATTAATTGGTAAATTCCTCGGTAAAATAAGTATTTGGTCACCTACAAACAAACAAGATTTCTGGCTCTCACAGACCTGTAACTTCTTCTTTAAGAGCCTCCTCTGTCCTCCACTCGTTAACTGTATTAATGGCACCTGTTTGAACTCGTTATCAGTATAAAAGACACCTGTCCACAACCTCAAACAGTCACACTCCAAACTTCACTATGGCCAAGACCAAAGAGCTGTCAAAGGACACCAGAAACAAAATTGTAGACCTGCACCAGGCTGGGAAGACTGAATCTGCAATAGGTAAGCAGCTTGGTGTGAAGAAATCAACTGTGGGAGCAATTATTAGAAAATGGAAGACATACAAGACCACTGATAATCTCCCTCGATCTGGGGCTCCACGCAAGATCTCACCCCGTGGGGTCAAAATGATCACAAGAACGGTGAGCAAAAATCCCAGAACCACACGGGGGGACCTAGTCAATGACCTGCAGAGAGCTGGGACCAAAGTAACAAAGGCTACCATCAGTAACACACTACGCTGCCAGGGACTCAAATCCTGCAGTGCCAGACGTGTCCCCCTGCTTAAGCCAGTACATGTCCAGGCCCGTCTGAAGTTTGCTAGAGAGCATTTAGATGATCCAGAAGAGGATTGGGAGAATGTCATATGGTTAGATGAAACCAAAATAGAACTTTTTGGTAAAAACTCAACTAGACGTGTTTGGAGGAGAAAGAATGCTGAGTTGCATCCAAAGAACACCATACCTACTGTGAAACATGGGGGTGGAAACATCATGCTTTGGGGCTGTTTTTCTGCAAAGGGACCAGGACCACTGATCCGTGTAAAGGAAAGAATGAATGGGACCATGTATCGTGAGATTTTGAGTGACAACCTCCTTCCATCTGCAAGGGCATTGAAGATGAAACGTGGCTGGGTCTTTCAGCATGACAATGATCCCAAACACACCGCCCGGGCAACGAAGGAGTGGCTTCGTAAGAAGCATTTCAAGGTCCTGGAGTGGCCTAGCCAGTCTCCAGATCTCAACCCCATAGAAAATCTTTGGAGGGAGTTGAAAGTCCGTGTTGCCCAGCGACAGCCCCAAAACATCACTGCTCTAGAGGAGATCTGCATGGAGGAACGGGCCAAAATACCAGCAACAGTGTGTGAAAACCTTGTGAAGACCTCCAAAAAACGTTTGACCTCTGTCATTGCCAACAAAGGGTATATAACAAAGTATTGAGATGAACTTTTGTTATTGACCAAATACTTATTTTCCACCATAATTTG